CCCCTAATCCCTACCAACTTCTCCCCTCCCCTCTCCTCCTACCCTTCCCTCACTCCCCCCTCCTGCTGATGCTAAGGGCAGATTGTTTGATTGACTGTATTTTCAGAAAATCTACAAGAAAAGGAAAATGGCTCCTATTGAACTTCATGGTATGGCTCCATCTGCCCCGTGCAGAACTGTTGCAGTAAGCTTTTTAATATTTTAGATTCTTTATTTCAAACAGGGTTTCCTATAACATATAGCATTTGAAGTTTTTATTCTGGGGCTAAAATTAATGAATATGAGAAGCAGTTACACTGCACTCTGGTTTTTACTAAATCTAAGATGACTGCCATTCATTAATATTTTACTAAATCTAAGATGACTGGCATTCATTGATATTTTACTAAATCTCAGATGGCTGCCATTCATTGATATTTTACTAAATCTAAGATGACTGCCATTCATTAATATTTTACTAAATCTCAGATGGCTACCATTCATTGATATTTTACTAAATCTAAGATGGCTGCCATTCATTAATATTTTACTAAATCTAAGATGGCTGCCATTCATTGATATTTTACTAATTATTCAAGATGGCTGCCGAATGTGCTGGTGTTGACTACACCTATGTATCTGTGAACCCAATGCAAGGAGAAACTAAGACTCCTGAGTTCTTGGCAATGAATCCAACTCATACTATTCCGACCATCAAGGACGGTATGTACAATTGTACTTTACAATTTAAATTGTACATGAGTGATAACAAATAAAAGTAAACATGTTTTCAAAGCTTTGACATTAAGAATTACAAAAAACTTTGCAGCATTAAAAGCAAGAATGACGACGACAATCGCTAGTTATTGATTGTCTTTGCTGCAAAAATATAACATCATTTACAGTGAAACCTTTAATAATGAATACATCGGAAGAATTTATCAAATGTCGTCTTGACAATTTTTCAGTGAGATTTATATTATATTACGTAAATTTCAGTATTTGCGAAAATAAATAAATAGCCTTGAATATGCGGGAAAAGTTTTAAAAACTAAATATCTGCAACATTCCATTTTCAGAAAGTGAAGAATACGACATTTTTTGAATTCTTTTGATGTATTTGTTATTAAGGGTTCACTGTATTAAATTCAGTCTTGGCTTAAATAAAAAGTCTTTTAAAATTACTTTAACCATTGACCAAACCTTTCATAGCAGTCTAAAGGTATTAACTCTTTAACACAATTTTAAATTTTCAAATCCATATATCTTTGAAGCCTGATAGTGCAAGACTTTGATAGTTTAAACTTAGATTATTTGATTTTACAGAATTCATGGTTTGAAATATTTAAGATCTACAACATTGGGTTGCAAAGATACAAGGAATAGAAAATCTGAGTAGGTGGCAAAGCCTTCATTCCTTTGGTTAGTAACATTCCTAACGCAAATATTTCAGGTGATTATGTACTGTACGAGTCCAGGCCTATTGCTTCGTACATAATGAACAAGTACTGCAAGGATGAGAAAATGAACCCTCAGGTAATCTTACGTACTGCAATTTATAAATCATGAAGAAGTTCATTTAATGCGGAAATTTGAACGACTTTGCGATCTCGATCCACATTACATCCAAGAAAGATCAGAGCAAACTTATATTTAATAATTTTATTATTTACAAATACAATATAGGTAGCAGGCATGAAAGATTTTTAAATGTAATTAAATGAATTTATGCTAATATAATATATTTTGTACGTATGTTTACTGAATTACAATACTGAATTCTTATTGGACTCCGTCCAAGGAGTATGAAATAGAAGGGAGATACAACTGACGCTACCCGCCCTACCATATGATTATACATTGTAGAGGGTACTCCATTTACTGAATTCTTATTGGACTCTGTCCAAGGAGTATGGAATAGAAGGGAGATACAACTGACGCTACCCGCCCTACCATATGATTATACATTGCAGAGGGTACTCCATTTGTATAAGAAATATTTGTCTGATGTACAATTACCGCGTATACAATAACCTATTCTGAATATTTCTTATACAAATGGAGTACCGTCCGCAAAGCATGTATAATCAGATGGTAGGGCGGGCCGCGTCAGTTGTATCTCCCTTCTATTTCATACTCCTTGACTGTGTACCGATGTTTGCTTGTACTGTGTTCTGTGTGCTAATATTCAAGTATTGCATACCCTTCCCGTTTATCGACAAATGAAATTTCAAGGAAATGACGATGATTTAAATACAATACATAGACACGGTAATGGTAATGATTCGAGAATTCAAGTTGCAGATTTAGTTGTTAGCAGAACGTTTTTACATATTCAAGCATAGACCCTCACATAGTCGAGCATAGACCCGCACATAGATCCAAACTGTTGTAAAAAGTTGCATTAATGTTCAAAACTGGATCGATGTCTCAATGCCCTGGCGTTTGAAATTTCTCATACACTCAATTACACATTTTTGTAGCTCAAGACATATTAACATTAAACTATAAAGAAGAATTGTTTATAGCTCAGTTTTTAAAAAGGAATTAGCAAAATTCTCATTAATTTTTGACTGAGAGCTTGCAACCTTTGGATCACAGTGGAAGATCATGGTTTGATGAGTCATTCTAATCCTACAGGAGAGATTTTATCTTTTTTAGAATAATATGTTTCCACCCTCCTTTATCGTAAATATAGATTTACATATAGATACAATCAAACAGGGAGCTTCTTTCAGTGTACTGTGTACTGTTAATATACTATGTAGTGTAAGCTGTGTATGCTGTTAGTGTAAGCTGTGTATGCTGTTTAATGAAATGTTTAATATAAAACATACTGTGTACTTTACATATAATATTGTACTGTTTACTGTATAGTGTACACTGTACAAGTTCATACCCTGTTTATTGCAATGTGTACTGTACACTGTACAGTTTACTGTGGACTGTAAAGTATAATGTGGATTGTACAGTATACTGAGAACTGAACATTATACTGCGGACTGTACAGTATACTGTGGACTTTAAGAATACTGTGGACTGTGCAGTTTAGTGTGGACTTTACAGTATAGTGTGGACTGTACAGTATACTGTGGACTGTACAGTATACTGTGGACTGTATTGTACACTGTGAACTGTACAGTATACTGTGGGCTGTACAGTATACTGTGGACTGTACTGTACAGTGTGGACTGTTCAGTACAGTGTGGACTGTACAGTATACTGAAAACTGTACATTATACTGTGGACTGTACAGTATGATTTGGACTGTACTGTATAATGTGGACTGTATATTATACTGTGGACTGTGCAGTTTACTGTGGACTGTACAGTATACAAATGACTGTACAGTATACGGTGACTGTACAGTATAATATGGACTGTACAGTATACTGTGGACTGTATAGTGTAGTGTGTTCTCTACAGTACATTGTGTACCTTACAGATGTACAACGGTTTATGTACAGGATCCTGAGACTAGAGGACTTATTGATCAGCGGCTGTACTTCGACATGGGAATATTCTATAAGGTAAAAGAAACAAAATCAAACTTTATCTTTTCAATGAATTAGCAGTTAGCAGTTGGCCTTTGGTTTTACCTCACCAACTCACTTTTATTTTTTTGTAGCCCTAGGTATATACAATACATTTTTAAAATGGGCTTGTTTATAGCTTAAGTTTAAATAAAGTTATTGGCAAAATACTGATTGATTTGTGCGTGATAGAGTGCACATCTTGGTTTGCAGGGTAAACTTGACCCTTTTAATCATTTCATCATTAGCCAACAAATATTAGCAGATCCTAAAAATGTAATTTGGAAAAAATATTTAAAATTCAAATAGTCAATTCATTTATAAACTAAAGGTGCATTCATTAAAGATTAACCCTTTCTGAGTAATAATATTGTTCATACATTAACGGAGATAAAGATTTCAAGATAACTGTTGGGAATCTGGCATGCTCCTCTGTTTATTTTTTTATGAAGGGCCATTTACAATTAAAACGACATTCCCTTTCACAAAATTTTTAGCCACTATTTTCAATTTTCAAATTCTTGATTTTCCAAAGAGATGAAATTATGTTTTTTAAGGCTCTGGGTGAATGTATATATCCCGTGATGATGGGAGGACAGAAACCAACTGATATTCAACAAGAAAAATACGATAAACTTAAAGAGGTGAAAATACGTTTTTTATTATTTTTTTTCATGGTTTTACGATTTGAATAAATCCCTGCAAAATATTGTTATAATAATAAATGGTACATACCAGAAGTCAGAACTTGGAAAACAATAGAATAAACATTTACCCTCAAGAAATCTCATCTTTTAGAGAAAAAAAAATGCGGAGCAAACAAAATTATTAAAATTTTGTGCAAATTTTGTGCAAATATTATTTCAGTTTACAGTTTAGAAAAAGCGGGAAATGTAACGATACTATTATTCCTCTTATTCATACTTCATGATTTCTGTCCTGTTCCATTCCGTTCTGAGTAGAAGAACAGTCTTCCTGTCTTGAGTAATTACTCATATGTCATTTTGATGAATTTAGGTCTTTGTGTACACATTTTCAAGAATAAAAAAGTTCAGCTGATGTTAAGTAAACTCCGAGAACTGAATTATTCATTATTATTTTTAAAGGCTCTGGGTTGGTTGGATGGTTATGTAGCAGGTGGTAAATTTGCTGCTGGAACTACTTGTATCACAGTAGCAGATCTAGCGCTAGTTGCTACCTACTCTACACTCAAGAATACCGCAGCTACACACAAGGTATTTATCTAGAAATAATGCTCTTTTTATTTCAAATTTATTTTTAAATTTTTCAAAGATTTGTACAAAAAAAATTCTTCACGATCTTCATTTGCCAAAAATTTTAACATTCAAATTTGTTATCAATAATTGCTAGGCCTTTCTTTCCCCACTGAATATTCGATTCAGCCGTGTTGACGTTTGTTGGATACAAAATAATTACTAGGCCTCTCTTTCCCACTGAATATAAGATTCAGCCGTGTTGACGTTTGTTGGATACAAAATAATTACTA